CCTCCCGCCTCCTCAACGCATCCCTGCCACCCCAGCGCCGGGGTCAGCACCCGCGGGCCGTCGCGCTGGGTCAGTGCCCCACGCGTCACCTGGCAGCGCGGACAAGCTGGGGCGCTCGCCTCCGAGCGGGATCACGTTTCTGTCCAATTAAGCAGTGCAAACGATGCAGTATTTATGAGGGTTTCAGACCGGCAGCCGATCCTGGGCTCACATACAGCCTCGCAGGGCCACGGTGCCCTTTCGACATCTCCTCAACATGCCTGAGCCGAAGAACAAGTTAAAACCAGCTCAGGACTTTGCACTTGGGTTTTTCACCTGCTGGTGCGACCTAGAACTGGCTTTACTTCCCTGTAGAGCCAGGACCTCACCCTTGAGCAACAGTGTTTTACAAACCTAATGCTGAGTGACAGCGGAGCGCTAGCGAGACCAAAGAGGCCCAGGAAGACGCCAGGCGAGGGCTGCCGGGGACGGTGGCCGGGGTCTTTGCCGAGGTAGCCAGCAGCTCTCCTGCGAAAAGGCCCTGCAGTCCCAGGGTGGGAATTCAGCAGCGCCCGGCTCCCTCGCTCCAGTCCTCAGCCCAGCAAAAGGAAGTCGGTTGGAGATGCACAGACCCAAAGATGTTTTCCTTCTGGGATCTCGAGGAATGTGCCAGACAAATATGGTTAAGATATGAAGAGGTTACGATTTGCGAGAAAGGCTGGCAAGGAATATCTCGTATGTAGAGTGTTTTTAATTGGATTATGTACATCATGCTTCATGCCTTTGTTAACTGATTTAATGGTTCACCACTTAAGTTCACCACTTGCGTTAAATTTAGTAAAGTAGTCTAATCATTTCCAGAGCTATAACCAAATCAAGGGCTCAATTTCACAGAAGCCTGAAGCAGAGGAACTGTAAGACAATGGCCTAGATGCATAAAATTAACAGTTCTTGACCTCAAAAGGGGCAAAAAAAAAAAAAAAAAGAGAAAAAGGTTTTAATGATTTGGTGCATTTTTGTGTGTGTCAGTTTTGTTCTCAGCACCTGCACCAAGATGCCGATGCGGTGTAGAAGCGGAATTGCCTTCTCTCGCTACAAGGCGTCCCAGAAGCCCCCCGCGCAGCTCGGCTGCGCCGCCGGGCTCTCCCCGGGACGGCGAGGTCCTCGCGGGTGCCGCTGCGCTCCAGCAGCCCGCACGTGCCGCAGCGCGCTATCGCGCTCCACTCGAGAAGCAAAAAAACAAACACAAGCACTCCCGCCCCACATGAGCGACCCTACAATAACAAACTGGTGCACGCACACAACAGGGAGAAATTCAGTTCGGTGAAGAAGTAAGAAGCGCTCAGTTTTGCATTGCGAAAGGGGTCACGAGGCAGGTGCAGCAGCGGAGGGCCGTGCCACCCTGCCGGCGAGCCCTC